CCCCATCTCTCTCTCTCTCTCTATATATATATATATAATTATTTAGACGTTTACTTTCAAATGGAATCAGACATGTTTCTTTGCCTCCTTTCCTTCAATCTACCCACAAGCCCACACAAATGCTCTTACCGGCAAGAACTGGTCAGTTCTGAACTCAAAATCATCTACAGGTGAACAAAGGTTAAGGAACTAAAGACTGATTTGAAGATACTTTATGATATAATTCAGTCTGATTTTCAAATCTCAGCAAGGCTACATAACTATTAAAATACGCAGGGGTGCACCAATAAGAGAATCGAGTGCAGCCGATACCGATGGCTGATTTTTAACAAGCCATATTGGCTGATACCGATCCAATTGCCAATATGTGACCCGGCAGCTTGGAGAGCAGCTTCCGGCTGGTAAGTCTGTTGTAGGGGATGGGGCAAGGGGGAAGGGAAGGAGTGGGGGGAGGCAAAAATTAAGGCCCCCACAGTGAGGAAGGGAGTGGGGCTGGGGCAGGAGCTGCACAGCCTGGGCAGAGCAGGGGATGGAGCCATGAGTGGCTCCTCTGGGGGGTGCAGATGGGGACAGCTCCTGAAACAGCACATACCCCAGAAGGGTATGGGGGAGCATGTGCCCCTGGATCTGAGCACAGGACGAGGGCAGGCTGCCGTTGCCCGCCCTAAGCACAGTCCCAGCCCAACCCCCCTCCCCACCCCCCCGGAGCCTGGCACTACCCCCAGCCCCAGCCCACAGCATCAGCCCATCTTCACATCGTGCACATATCTGGGGGCACACGCCCACCCATGCTCTCCTGGGGTGTCTGCAGCAGCAAGGGCCGCCTCTCCCTTCTGCACCCCCTAAACAAGGCATTCGTGTCTCTGTCCCACATCCTGCCCCAACTGTGCAGCACCTGCACCAGCCCCGCTCCCTCCCTCACCGCAGGGGCCTCAATCTGCCCTCCCCACCCCGATGCCCATTCCCTCACAACAGACTTACCAGCCAGACTCGGCTGCTCTCCACGCTGCCAGGCTGTGCTCCTGGCCACATCAGCCAAAAAAAGCCGATTGTCAATAAGGTCCATTTTCCTTATAATCAGTGCTGATCTGATATAGAACCGATTTACCAGTGCACCTCTAAAAATATAAATAATTAATAATATAGGTCTGTCATTTTATTTTGCAGAAACTTTAAATAAAGAATCAATAAAACAGAAAATCATAATTTTTAAAAAGGATATTTAACTTCAGAGTTGTAGCTGTCTCAATACGGACCTGAAAGACAAAAGACAAAGTGTTATGCTGTTACCCATATTAAACATTATCCTGTGTATCAGTGGACTATCCTCAGTTCTGATATTAATAATCTGCATTGATAAGAAAGCCCTCATATCCCAGATAAAGTAAGGTCATTTGACATTGGCATACACCTGTTTTCTATTCATGCTTTGTTTGGTTTCAGAAGAATAGCTTTTGCAAAAATTCTAATTTTGTAAAATATTAAAAGCATGAATTATCAGAGCCAAAGCCATTGCCACAGAGCCCTTAACCTGACTAGGTGGTAAGACAGAGTAATCAACCCAGAACCATGATGGCATCTGTTCTTCCATTTTCAAAGTCACCTGCAGAATATCCTGTTGCTTGTTTTTCTCATTAACATATCTCTGTGAAGCTTTAGAATAGCTGATAACAAAACATAAGCTGTAGTACTGGTATCATGGAGATTACACCTAATTCTACATTTCTTTTACTATAAAAAGCTACGCACCCTCTCAGATTTCTCAGTGCTTAGAGAAGATCAACTGAATCAAATCAAGGCTGATGCAGAGATAAGAATGGAAGAATATGCTTCTATAACATCCACCTCTATTGATGGCATGTGGTCCCAGAAACTTAGGAGTCAGCTGCTGCAGTTTTCAGGCCCCTTTGGACTCCTCAGTAATACTGATACACAAGTAGGCATGACAGCAAAACAATAATTGCTCACTGTAATTAGTTAGAAGATTAAGCATTATTCTACTGGACACGAACCAGTCACACTGCTACCTTTGTACTTTTTGCCAAGTTGCAGCTTCAAAAAATTCTACAGAGTAGATGTAGCAGTCGGTTTAGCAACACAGGTCTCTCCAGCACATTGCTGCAGTACTCTACTCACTCTAGAGGTTCTCTGCATAACACAATGCATGGCCTCTATCATTAGATTCAAAGCCTAACATGGTATAGGCCTAATCCATCTAATGGACGATCATAACTCGAAGGACAACTATATTCTCTATGGAACTGTGAAAATGCTAACCAGTAAGGAAAGGCTCATAAACACAAGATACAGATTTTACTGGAGGTAGACCTTGAATATCCAACTTACTTCCCAATGTAAAAAAGAACAATTACAGGTCTCTCAACATTCAGAATTAAATGCAAGATTAATTTAGCTTTCTGATAAGTGTGTTCTCTTACCTTCTCCTTCCCCCCTTCCGCCAATTATAAGTGAATGAGGTTTTTTTGCCTACAAGCTGGAAAAGGAGAGAAAACAGCTTTTTTGCTTCTTTCTTTCTCTCTCTCTCTCTCTCTCTCTCTAAAGATACTTAGGTTTTTCAGGCAGGGTAGTGACTAATGAACCACCAGGCAGGGTAGATATGTAGCTTTTGGTTAAGTACAGACAGTCAAAAAACCCAAGACTGAATTGATTCAATCTTCACAGGTTAGTGTAAACTGCATAGATTGAACTGATACGCAAGTGAACAGACACTCGTTTTTGATTCTAAAAATGCAGCCACATGTCTGTAGTGGCCAAGGCCAGAAGCTGGGGGCTGCTAAAGTATGCCTCCTTGCTCTGCTGGAGCAGGCAGCTTGAGTCTGTGAGGGGGGGTTGTGGGGGAGGTGCAAAGCATGCTGGGGGACTATGAGTTGACTTGATTCTGGTGGGGATCTGGGACAGAAGTTCAATAAACTAATTTAACCTAAACCAGTTAAGTCTGATACTACATCCATCCAGGTTTATCTTAAACTGGTTAGAGCCATTTTGAAAGCAGTTTACATGCACTGAACTTCTGCTGTTACATATTTGAACTGGTTTCTGATCATTTATATTAGTTTGTGTGTAACTTCTGTCCCTAGCCTTATAACCTAACTAAGATATATGTATCTTGTGTGCTAAACTACACTGCAGGTCTATAGTGTGTCTCACCAGTTACATAGTGAATCCCAGACTCCCAATAACATCAACAAATTTCTCTCAATTCCCACTGTAAATAACTAAAACTGGTTTAAAACTGGGGTAGCTGCAGCACGTATGCCACAAGTGGCACAGGCAGCCTGTGTGGGATTCAACAGGTCAGGGAGTGGACGGGCAGGGCGGCACAGCAGCAGATAGGGCAAGGCAAAGCAGAGCAGCAGATTTACTAAAACTTTGCAAAAATAAGTCTTAAGTTTTGGCCTTAGAATGAAGAAGTTCAGTCCAAAAGAATGAAAATATTCAGTTAAACATGATAGGGAAAAACTGAGGAGTTGGAAATTAAACTGAAGCTCATGTACAACTGTTACCACTGATGACTAAAATAATGATCACTTTCATTTACACCAGTGGGAGACATCATTTTTGGTAGGTGTGTCACAAATTAAGCCCTGTGCTCTACCCAAGCGCCATCCTGCTCCCCTTCACCTGGCCAATCTACTGCTCTGCTTTCTACACCTGCCGGATCTGCCATGTGCCATGCACAGAAGTTGCTTGTGCCACTTGCACTGGAGACTGGCCACCTCTTATTTACATAATAAAGGTAAAAGCGGTATCAATCCTTACATTTCAGGACACATTCTATGTTTCAGCATGAGCTAGAGAAACCCCCACTGCTCTCTATATTAGAAAATTTGGGATATTAAAATGAACTAAAGTTTTCCTTTAGAACCTCTGCTACTAGTAACAGCTACAGAAAAGATCCTGTTCTTCTCTACAAGAACGTATTAAAAACTTGCCTCCTTTAGACAGAAGAGCAGTTTCCAAAGCAAAATATTGTTTTTTGTAATAAGCAAGATCCTGGAAGTCAGCCAGCATGAAGAAATTGATTTTAAAGAATTAAAGTGAATGTTATTCCATAACAATTGTCACAGCTATGATGAGGATTAAAAGGCAAGCATTTAGATTTTGCGCTTAGATTTCATATAAATGCAAAAACTCTTAGCAGTAGAAAACAAAATGTATAGCAATGGAATCAACTATAATCTTCTACCATAGTTTGTCCAAAGCACAATATTTCAATGTTAGTATGAATATGGAATACATATTTTTAAAAATTTTCTTGTAACATCTTAAAATTAATGCATTTTTGTTTCAATATAATCCAGAACACCACATATAAAAGCAGCAACAATTTGTCAATAATATTGGACTTTTCCATTTTTTCTTTCTTTCAAAGATTTTAAATTCTCTTAAAAATAATCTTTCAATTAAGCCTTTCACCCTTTAAGGGATGTAATAAATAGTTTTCTGCAAAGAGGTCAATTCAGAGGTGATCAGCAGAAGCCAAGCCAGGCATAGCTCTGAAGCCTACTCCAGGATTCAGATGCACATCTAGCCATACTCTTATAGTGTCTTGCTCAAGTTCACACAGCATATCAATTAAAGCAAAAAAGAGGGCATTGGACATGGTTAAATTTGTTGCATTATGCCTTTACAGGGCTACCAAAACCTAGCTAGCATGTATACCTTCACACCAGTGTTAGTGCCAAAAAATGGTGAATCCACAACAAAAAAAATGTTGCGCTACATTTTGTTGCAACACATGCACGTGTCTGGGTCCTGTAACTGAGCCATGACCTGGGGCTGCAGCTCTGCTCCCTTAAGTGAGCTGTCACAGAACTCCCACTGCCCTAAGAAAACAGTGGCAAGGACCAGTACTACTGCCCCTGGATGAGCAGCAGGAATAGCTACTACCCCCACAGGACTCGCCAACAGCAAAGCAAGATGCTGCTCCAGAACCTGCTTACCAAGGACCTAGAGAAGCAGCTGTGAGTGACTGGACTGACGGACAGACTTCCCTGTGGGAAGGAGGAATAAAGGAGCAACACCCTAGCACTCGCACATTAGACAGCAGCCAGGGGGCTCTGAACATACATATTTCCCCAGTGCTCTATCTTTCCAATGAAGTAGGAAGGAAGAGATCATACGATTGCTTTCATCTGCATCAGAACACTGACAAGATTAATCCCCAAGCAATTCCAATTACCAAGGACTTTCAGGTTGCTGATAACAGCTCTTCACTTCAGGTTGTATGCACCTAAGTTAATAATCAACTATCATGCTAGAGGACTGAATTGTATTCTTTTTTAAACATTGTAAAATGGAATCCACCACAGCAGGGATGGTGCAACCCACCTCACAAAAGTCAATTCCAGGAATGCATGGATTTGGCTGTACCAGGGTTGTAGCGTTATTTCAGATGTGAGGGTCCAAGAACTACGCGAGAAGCAAGATATTTTTTTAGTGGTATTTTTTCCAAACCAGCTTTAGAGTTGAGAGAGATGTTAGAAAACCTTTTGGGCACAAAATGCCCTTCTTCCTGTGTGAAACAGAATTAAGTGCAGCCTCAGCTAAATGCCAGATTAACAATGGCTTGTGCATTTAAGTAAATCCATATGTAAAGCTAAAAAATACCTTCAGAAAACAGGTCTGTGAACAAAAATAGTACCTTTACTGGACCCTAAACGCCATGGACTAAATACAGATGACGGTTTCCCAACTCGTTATAATCTAACTGGTGTCTCTTCTAACCTCTCAGTATTCCACAAGTACAAATACTCCAGATGTTCTGATTTATATTGTTGTCTTACATAATTACTGTTAGGGGTGCACTGATAGAGATTTTTTCCGCCAATACCGATGGCTGATTTTTAACAAGCTACATCGGCCAATACTGATCCAATTGCCAATATGCAGCTGGGCAGCTTGGAGAGCTGCATCCGGCTGGTAAGTCTGTTGTGGGGGAAGGGACAAGGGGGGAGGGAAGGGGAGTTGGGAGACAGGGACATATTGAGGCCTTCATGGTGAGAGAGGGAGTGGGGCTGGGGTTGGGGCAGGTGCTGCACAGCCCAGGATGGAGCCATGAGCGGCTCATCCAGGGGGCGCAGGTGGGAGCAGCTCCCGCCACTGCACGCACCCTGGGAGGGCATGGGGGGCGGTGTGCCCCCAGATCTGTGCAAAGGGTGAGGGTGGGCTGGGGCAGCATCGAGCTCTTCCTGGCAGGGGCCTGGGCCAAGCTGCGCTCCAAGCTGAGAGCCGCCACCCTCTCTCCGCAACCCCCAGATAAGCCCTGGCTGGGCAGTGCCTACCCTTGCCCCAGCCCCACTCCCTCCCTCACGGCAGGGGCCTCAATCTGCCTCCCCTTCCAATGCCCCTTCCCTCACAACAGACTTACCAGCCAGACCTGGATGCTCTCCATGCTGCCAAGCTGTGCTCCTGGCTGCCTGTGCACTGCACTGCAGCCATGCGCATGCACAGGGCATTTATTGGTGACATTATCGACCACATCAGCCAAAAAAGGCTGAATGCAAATACTGTCAATTTCCCTTATACTGGATTGAGATTGAGATTCCCTCAGATTGAGGCCCCTGCAGTGAGGGAGGGAGTGGGGCTGGGGCAAGGGTAGGCACTGCCCAGCCAGGGCTTGTCTGGGGGTTGCGGAGAGAGGGTGGCAGCTCTCAGCTTGGAGTACAGCTTGGCCCAGGCCCCTGCCGGGAAGAGCTCGATGCTGCCCTGGCCCCAGCCCACCCTCACCCTTTGCACAGATCTGGGGGCACACCGCCCCTCATGTCCTCCCAGGATGCATGCAATCCAATATGGGACCGATGTATTGGTGCACCTCTAATTACTGTATCGTTTATGCATTTTGAGCACAGACAAATTCTATTCATCAGCATCTCTCTGTCCTTGCAAACACTGCAATTCATGTTTTACTCCACCACAGCCACTGCCAAACTTGCAAAAGGTCTCCTAAAGGCTACTGCTGCTTAGCCAAAAGCTGCTGTCAATTTAGCAGCTATAGCTGCTATGCTGAAGATTCATGCTCCCATGTTGCTGATGGGGAGAGATGGGAAAGAAATGGCAGCTATTACAAGAGTCCCCATGGAGGGAATCGGCTTCCCTGCTTAATTTTGGAGGAACAGATTTTGGAGGAAAGGAGTACGTGTGTTATGTGAGTACTAATGGTAAGTTATCTATTCAACTAAGCCTCTCTTGCTTTGACACTACTTCTGATAACTTCTCTTTCCTCTTTGTATTTCTGCAAGTGAATTGAAAACAAGTGAAAATGTGAAAATCATAATCTCAAAATTGTAAATACACTACAACGTAGCTCTAGTTTGCAACCCTTCTACACTCCTTAAGCATCTGTTTCTTTTACATAAGGAGTTAAACTCAAGCCATTTTTATCCCATCATTAGCTTAGGCCATACTTGCTTTTTCCCCCACATCTGAAGGGCCCTTTGTGCCCCAAAACTTGACTAACATCTCTCTCAACTAGGTTAATAAAAGATATAACTAAAAAAAACCATTGCTTCTTGAATTTAGCTGACATTTATTCTCTAACCAATGCTGTAGTTCTCATTTTGAGCGGAGTTTTTGGTATTATGTATTTGGATCAAGTCATGATGGCCACAGATACAAGAGAAAACTTTCTGCTCTGCATTATCTTGAATTGTGTCTACAACTACAAAATGCATAGAAGTCTTTCCTCTAGTAGAAAGGCTGTGCCTGAGAATACCGAATTGCTTTCACAAATTCAATTGAACAGCATACTTCATAAAATGGCAAAAGGATAAGCATGCTTATATTTTATTTCAGTGAATATGTAACAGAAGAATGGTAGCAATGTGAGCAATAAACAAAAATTAAATACAGATAATGTAAAAACAAAATACTCACACCAACTCACAGAACACACTATAGGTGCCAAAACCACTCAGACCTGTTGAGTGCTCATGGTTAGTACATAGGGTGCTTGTAAGCTGGTCAAAAACCAAACCTAAACTAGCTGTAAAGATGCTAGCTTGGGTCCCAGAAGTAGCATCTAGTAAGCAAGCTCAGTACAGGAAAACTTACCCTACTAAAGCAAACTACTGTGTGTGGAGCTCCACATCAATGCAGCTAAACTACTTCTAGTACTCAAGCTAGCTTACGGATCTCTATACCATAGTGCAGTCTACAGCAGGAGTGTCAAACATACAGTCCATGAGCCAGACAGATCACAAAGACAGGTCATGCAGCCTGTAGCCAAGCATCCAGGAGACAGCTGGATGCTAAAGCCACAGCATCACCACAAGAAGGCAGCCAAAGGCCTGGCTTGTTTTCACAACAGCAACCAAATGCCCGGGATCCTGGGCTTCTTTCCACCTGGTCTTGGACCAGAAACTGGGGCGGCATTCCACAGGCCTGCTTCACACCATTAATTTGGCCCACAATCATGAAGCTGGGCAGTGAAGGCACTCCCCCACCTTCTACCAACAGGAAGCTCCCAGCCCCTGCTCTGCAATTGGGGAGCGGGGAATGAGAGATCTTTGTCTTCCAGCCTGAGCTCTGAGGTTGCAAGTCCTGGGATGGGAGATCCTTCTATCCCAGTGCCAGCTCCACAATCACAGGGCTGGTGCTGAGAGATCCTTCTCTCCCAGCCCGAGTCCAATGGCCATGGGGCCCAGGCTGGGAGATCCTTTTCTCCCAGCACCAGCTCCACGATCATGTGGCCAGCTCTGGGAGATCCCCATGCCCTGGCAGTAGGCAGCTCCCCAGAGTAGGGAGCAAATCTCCCGCCCCCTTCTGCCCAGCTAACCAGGAACATATTTGCTTCCATTCAAGGGTGTACATGTGCGCTACTGCATAGTTACTAAATCTTGAGTAAATTTCGATTTACATTTTCAGGTAGCAAATCTACTCACAATTAGAGCCAATTACAGCACAGTAAGCATCTGCACATATAGATGTGGATACTTACTGCGCAGTAATTAGTTGTACTGCACAGTAAAGCATCTTGTGTAGATGTGCCCTCTAAATACAAAACCCCATGACTAAAAGATATTTATTTATCAACCACTATGGCTCTCTTATTTCTATAAGTTCATAAAAGTGAGTTGCTTACACAATTACAATATTACTGGTAGGGAGCTGGGCAAAGATGTAACTTACTGAAACACATTTTTTCTAATGTAAATTATTGATTGTCAGCATTTTAAAGAAAAGGCGCTACTTTAAATGAACTTTGGATAATTCCAGTCTGTGGATGCACAGAAGATACAAGATGAATACAAATTGCCAGGAACTCCCTATGGTAAATACCAACACAACTTCAATTCATTTGCAGAAATGTGAGTGAAAGTCATAATCCCAGAATTATAAATACACTATAAAGTAGCTGTCTAGTTGCCTTCCACAGTAATACCATTTCACACGGTATATTTGCAACAAATATATTTATGTAACAGAAGCTTATAACAGCAGGTAGAAATAATGCTGGACAACTTCATCCCGGTATGACAATCTCTCAGTGTGTTTGTGGATCCCCACAGGTTTGCTGATGAATGAATGCAAGAACATATAACACTCAAGATGCATCTACACTAACTGACTACTTATTGAATAGACATAATTATAGAGGAGTCCAAGATTCAGGAACCAGTTTTGTGTGTAAACATATTATGAGTAAACAACACAAATATGGATCTGAAAACTTTCCCCACAATAACTATAGAAGTCCAACATATCTAGATGGAGCCCATACCTTACCATTGAGCAGATTTTTTTTTTTGAGAATAAAGAAATTACCATGACAACATTTTTGCTTTGAAGCATATATGCTGTTAAAACTTCTCATTTAAATTTATTTTTTTAAATAAGTATAATTCAGTACATTGCTACAATTATATTTGCATACACCTACCACTAAGTCCTGATCTTGAAGCAAGTTACGAATTGCCTCATACAACATAGGCCTCAAATCAGACTTGAATTTTACAGAAATCCATTGTCCGATAAGCCAAATGACACGTCGCCGTATTGGCTTATACCTGTAGAAACAAAAAGCATCATTTTAGTCATTCAGCTTGTTCCTGTTTCTTTACTTTTCATATGCAGATAAAGTGTTTTAGAAGAATGGCAGATGACACTGTTCATCACACCAATTGTTAATTTTCATAGGACTTGTATAAACTACATTTTTAGTGTTCTTTAGTCAAACTTCTTTATATCAGATCCATATGATACCAATGAATGAACAGAAAGTTTCTCCCTTCCTGGGATGTATATGTATTTAATTCCTTATGACATTTTTTGGTTTCTTCACTATGTTCCTAACCCAAGCTCCACTGGAGATGAAATCTAGTCAGGATATGGCAAATCAAATTAAAACTATCTATGCTATTGAAAACTAAAGCTATTCTTTTATTATCACCACTTCTATTAAGTTTAGCTATAACCATGTCTCTCCACCTGTATAACCCTGCTACTCCTCCTTTCCCCTTTTGAAAAAAAGGGTTCAGACCTTGTCTAGAGCCCAGAAGGATAAATCAGAGAGTCCACTTGATCTGGCTCTAAGTCATTCATTACAACAGCAGATTGATGTTCATGTAGAAGCACCATAACCTGAAGCACCTGAAGCTTTGATTAAAGGATTCTAAAGTTTTGCGCCTTAAAAAGTCCTTGTATGAGCTCAAAATTCTTCCATAGGAATCTGGCTGCTTGCTGTAGCATCTGGACATGAATTCCCCTGTCAGCAGTCTCAATTCTCCCTGAGGGATCAGGCAAGAATTGAGACATAATTATTTTAAAGAAGTTTTTGGCCTGCTCATCAGGTGAGAAAAACATTTTTATGCATCTTTAAAAGTCAGAAGAGCTCTCCTGTAATCAAGTCATACTTAGAGATTCTGAGGGCTGCTCTACCAGTACACTGAAGCTCTCGTAGTCATTTGATGCTACGAAGTATGTGCTGAAAGACCCTACTTCCCACTCATTGCCTGTTTTTCAGTTTTATGATCACAGTCAGGATTGAGGCAGGGAATGCTAAATGGCTAGGATTGCTATCATGGCAGAGGCTAGAAAGTACATACTGTTTGAAAACATTAACCATGCTTCATAGATGAAGCAAACCATTTACACCAAGGATGCTCAACACGTGGCCCACAGATGCTATCCAACCTGTAGGGCTCCGCACATTCCAAAAAACTGGTAGCAGGGGAGCCCCACCAAAACTTTCAGACCGGTGAGGAGTGTTGCAAAATTAATTAAGTGATCCTGAACGCTAGATTGGGCATGTGGGGCCAATCAGGGTGGCACAGGGGCAATCCAGCCCACAGGCCAGGCCCATGCCATTCAGCCAGCCTATAGGACAAAAGAGCTGAGCACTACAGATTTATGCAATGCACTGTTTAATGTACATTAAGGACTAAAAGTACAGTTCCAGGGAATGCTACCAAGTAGATCAAAGCTGTCTCACCTTTACCACAAAGGTTCAAAGGACAAACTGACATTAAGGGAAAAATATCTGTTCAACACAGAAATCCAAGTAAATAAACAGATAATTCAATATTAATGTATTAATTAATGATAATGTTATAATTAGCTATGGTAAGGAAACAAAGCAAAAATTATAATGCATGTACACAAAGAAAATAAGTAGATAAATCCAATTAAGAAATCAACAGTTCTGTTTAAGCTTTACATAACAAGTTGAGATAGAAGCAGGAACCCTGCCACCCCCTGTGTTCCCTGCCAGCTGCCTCCCTGCTGCTGATTTCATGACCATAGGGTAGGGGATCATTTTAGGGTGACCCATCAAGAATTAGGCAATTAGATTTTATACTTGGAAAAAGATAACAAATTATATATATTTGTTATAATTTTCTGTATATAGAATCTAATGGGGGGGTCCATCTTAAATTTGAAGTTGCCTCAGGTTCAGCTAAATACAGTAATTGCTAAGCCATAAAATATACAAAATGAGCTGCTAGGCAAGGGTTTTTTTGCCCCTTTGGGTTTTTTTGTTTGTTTTTTTTCTTGGTAGCTGTTTAAGAGACTATTTTGTGGGCAAAATTCTTGAAATCTGTACTGTCTGCCCACACACTGCTTACCAGCTACAGACTGAATTTAAAAGATAAAAAAGGAAGTTTAAAAATTCTTAAACACTGTTATTCTGCTAAGAAAAAAATGGGAAAAGAAAACAAAGCCAAGAAGTTTGATAGAGAAGGAGGATAGCTATGTACCACCACAGTTTAATTCAGCTTTGGAAAGGTGCCGTTAAAAAAAAGTTTAGCAAGTCACTTTCTTGACTTAAGTAATTAAAAGCTGATAAACAAGCTGGTTGGCTCCTTTGCTTGCTTGTTTGGGGATGATAAATCAGGAAGGTTGGGGAGAGGAGGGGAAGAGCTTACAGGCCATTTCCTGATCCCTTTCTTCAAAAACTGTTCAACAAACAAAATAAGGAGCTTCTAAACTGGTCAAATGACTTCATGAAGACCATAGTATTATTTAAAGCAATATGTTACTCTATTGAAAACTTTAATGAAGTATTTATAAAATTGATCATATCTCTGCACAAATACAAAATGCTTCTTGACCAGTTACATCTCTTTCATATGCACAATTGTCAGTCTAATTTTGGATACAGAGAACCTCACTGGAGATGTGTCAAAATGTGTTCTATAATCCTCCCTTATACTATTTACAAAGATTTACACATACTGCAGAGAACAATAAACAACATTCATTTATGATCAACTGTTTCCTTTTGTTAATTAAAAAATAAATAATAAAACAGAGTCCAAAAACTCTGTACATTTTTTTCTTTACAGTTTGTTGTTTTTAAGATGGAAGGGACTAAAATATTATGAGATAAAGAATGTAAAGGTTTGAGGAAAGGGGGCAGTTTTTAATCGATTAGATACTAAAACATAATTTTAAACGTGTCTGGAAAACTTCCCAAAATTACATACTGAAAATTTACAGCAGATGCCCGACACTTCAAAAACAGACAAAACGCAGCGTTAGCTATGCTACTGCAATAAGCCATCATAACAAATGATGCCATCAGCCTGTTAATCTTTCCTAAGAAAGAACAAATATTGCCCTAAAAATACATATCTAACAAAATTAGACATAAAACAAAGAGCTGTAGGTTTGCAAGTGGAAAGGGACAGATGAATCAACCTTTCAAATGCTTTGAATAGATTTTATTGTAAAGAAGGACCCTATAAAAGTCTCTTTACCTACCTTTATTATAATTCTTGCATCTTATTCATTAGATGGTCATCAACTATAAAAATGCAATTTGCCCACTGGGTGCACTTAATTAATATACAACTTTCCTTAACTGAGAAACAACACTACTTAGTGCAGTCATACCCAATGTTTTGGATCAATGAATAGCTATCAGTACCCAGTTTCCAATGAAACACTACGTACTCTTATCAAATTTTAATTTAAAATGTATAGGGCCTGGCATGATCCACAGACTATTTACCATGGTCCATTGGATCCCTGATAAGACGCTGCAAAAAACAAAACAAAACCCAAATAAAACCAGCTTTCTTCCATCGACATATTTGTAAGGTGGGCACGAGTCTAGCAAAGCTAAGAGTCGAACAATACAGAGCTGACAAAAAGCAGCAGAAACAAGCTATACTTAATCTGTTATATTCCGTAGTTTCACATTCAATTTTTATATAACATCAATGAGGGAACAACAAATAAATGCATTACTCCGTCCAGTTATTTTGAAAAAAATTTCAACACACAAAATGATACTGTTTTGTCATGCTGGTGGATTTTTATTTAAGATATTTCTATTCTAACGGCCTGTAAAAGAGGGAGATTTATATCTGTTTCTTTTTCAACATTAAATGATTTTCATCAGCAAAGAATAATTTCCTATTCAACATTCCCAATTCATTTGTCACAATAGCAGAATTTATACAACTACACCATCTGCAGGTATAACTTGGTTAGTAAACATACTTACAAAATGTTTTTATCAATTCAATTCAATAAACACACCCTAGTTGCTTTTACAGTTTTATTTCTATTACTAATGTATAAGACTTGCATGAAAATGAAATGTTTTCCTTCTGAACCTACTGATTTGCTAAGCAGAATTCAGAAAGCTCTTACAGTACACAATATTGTCTTCATTCAGATCTGTACTATTTCCAGCTCTACCACAGACTCCCCTTGAGCAAGTCATGATTCACGCATCTGTAAAATGGGAGTCATACATTCTCTCGCTTTCAGTTACTGATTCTGCCATCTGCATCACGGTGACTGATGCTGGCATGAAGATAAAAAACAAGAACAAACAAAATGAGAGGGGAGACCCTAAACCTCCTAAACAACACAAAGATCAAATTGAGATGGGGGATAAGGGGAAATCAAATGCACAAAATGTGTAAAGCCATCTATATAGAACATGTATACATTTTAATTAATTTGAGAAAAAAGTCTCCTTCTTTTTTGTGAAACCTCTTGTGACAGAGGTCTCAAAAAAGGACAAGGAAATGGGTCGGCATTGGGTATTGAGCAAAACTGCATTGTGTAACCAGTATAAATAATTTTCAATACTCATTTTCCAACAGTTATGGTAGGTCTGTTACAAAATAGGTGTTTTCTACATGGGGTAAGAATATTGGAGAAAGAAGCTAGATCCAAGGGATGCCAGTATACAGCTCAACATCGTCAAAAGGGATGCCTGCTAAATGACAGCAGCTGCAAATGATGAAAACAATACAACATTTAGTTTTCTCTTTTGCATCCTCTGGTTTTTATAACATAGGAGCTTTGATATTAAAAGATTGGGGAAAATATGTCTTATTTAGAAAAAGTTTAAGTTTTACCAAACTTAGTCTTGCTGGTCTATAAATTCCTAATGAGCAAATCATGTCCAGAAATCTTTTAACATTTGGAGAGAATTGTTTGTCTTCTCATTGGAAAGTATTTTGCCCTCAAACGGTAAATCCCACTGTTACCTGCACTTCTTTTCAAATGCCGTTTCTCTGGTGCCACAAAGCGCATCTTGTAACTCCAAAAGTCAAAGACTGCAGGGTTCCAATTAGCTTCATCCAAAGTAGTTTGTAACACTTCATGAACAACTTGCCTTCATTTATGACCATCATGAATTGTTCCCTATTTTCCTGAGGCAGTGTGTCAGCAAGCTAAATTAATTTATTGTAATTTATAAAATTGTATTTTGCTGGAAATGGCTGGTAATTTGAAATATGAAACTGTACTCTCACAAATTGAGTTAATTATTTCTTCCGAAAGGTGCAATTATTTAGCTTCTAACAATAAGTGTTGTCTTTGACTGTTGTTGTCTGAGATCACAAATATTCCACTATCCCAACTTGATTTATAATACTTCTCATACTTCTCTCAGCTTTCTTTCAAGGTGGAGCAATAGCAGTGGAAATTTGCCGCACTGTTTTTGATGAGTCTAAAAGCACTATCCTAAAAGGAAGCCGCAATTTTATTGCACACACACCTTTGAAGAATGTACCATAACTTGTAAGGAGGTTCTTGTATCTTCTCCAGTGGAATAGGCACAGCCTCTATTAATCCCTGCAAGGTTTTAAAACCACCTTCAATGGTGTTTTGAATATCACTAGGTGCGACTAACAAAGGAAGACTTCCACAAGGCAACTTGCACCATAGATTTGATGTTGTATTTTCCATGTTAAGAATTGCTGGTGGCAAAGTCATGAGTGCAAGACAGTCCTCAACCTTTAAAATGCTTTTAATTTCACTCTTTGATGTCCTAAGTCAAATAGCCTGCAAAATAGTCAGCAAGCTCCACTTAAAAAGGAATGGGTAATTTGGTAATGGAGTCTGATAGTTCACAATACATTGGAAGGCTTTCTACCAAACAAACCAAGTCAATTTGGCTCTGTCCATTTATTACCCTTGACTAGACCTATGTTTACTGTAGTCACAACCAGGGACCTGGAACAGGGTGAGTAAACAAATGCTCAAAATCTTGTGAAGTAACAATCTGTATTTTGTGGGATCTATAACTGAAGATGGCTTTTTGGACGCAACTGCCTCAGCTGGTTCATGAAAGTTGAGCCTGGTGAAGATGACATTTGTACAAGGATCTACTGTCCTTCCACTGAACTTCCTCATCCAAAGGATTTAGATTGGTGACAGCTCAGAAACTGGAGAAGCCAAAGTGGTATTCCTAGTGGATTGTGGTGATGGAAATCTTGGCCTACAATGAAATCCTTAGACAAATCTCATGCATTGCATAATACCTCATGCTGCCCAATAAGGCCATCTGCTGGTAACTGATTTGAAGCTCAGGCCACCAAATTAGGAAGATAGAATTAAAAACAAACAGCTCAGTAATATTACTGAAGTATTTACTTACATATATTTCTTTTCCATCCCTCCAAGAACAATCTGATCTTTAGTTTACTGGGAAGCAAAGTTAACTACTGACCATAGTCGTTAGAGAACTATAGCTATAGAGAACTTTGAATTAAAGAATAAATAATGATAAAACTGATACAGTGCTTTTTTGGGTAAGTATATTTCTTAAAGAAGTCTGCATGATAATTACTATACCACAACATTTAATAAAACTCAAAAAGTATAAAGGACAATAGTTTGCATTATTTTTCAAAACAAGAGCCTGAGAAATTGCCACTACATACTAGCCAAAAAACCTCATGAATTCAAAATGGTTTGACTGATATGGTTTAGATCCTGCCTTCAGCAAGGGGTTGGACTAGATCAGCAGTTGGCAATTTACAGCTGTGGGTTGGATCTGGCTTCTGAAGCTGGGAGGCTTTGGCGATCTTCAATGAAGGACAACTTCAACGGAGAGGCTTTGTCTGTGCTGCACCATGGCAGTGAACTTCGTCTGTCTTGGGCAACAGGGAGAAGGAACAGACGCAGCCAGGTCCTAATGCCAGCTTGCCACAGATGCAGCCTGCGACCAGAATACCCCTAGACTAAATTACTTCCTATGGCCCCTTCAAGCCTCATTTTTTTGATGATTTTGTAACAAAGTGACGATACTTTCACAGCTGAACTTGTTATGCCTATGTCCATTTTCTATATACCCACCTTTCTCTTAATTTAGCAGGTATATTTAAATAATAATTCTTATCAGATCTGCTCTTGTTGGATACTACATCATACTACTAGATTCACCACAATAAATTACTGGAACAACTAAGATATAAAAGATAAAGTTAAGGCAGTTACCTGTTATGAGAGACCTGTAGTTCTGCTAGTAGCTGACTCTTAAACCACTGATCAAAATCCACACTGTCAAACAGCTCATATGCTGCCAGTCCAACTGCATTATATACTAGAAAAAGACAAAGATATTTGGTTTTGCTCTGGTCTTAAAACTATTTTAAAATTCTAAAGATGACAAAATTTAAAGATTGGAAGCCATGACACAATAGCTTCAGTGCAGAAAGGATTATTCTTCATCCCTTACAGACTGAAAACTGAGACATAAAAAAGCAGTAATGTTAAATAAGATAATGATAAAAACCTCATAAAACTTCTTCCAAAGTTCTCTTTAATTACAAATAAATTAAGTTCTTACGACAGCTAAACAATGTTGTGTTCAGCGCAATTATAAGCAACATCCAATTACATTTCCATTAGATGTTTTGGAGAAGTCACTTTTCCAACCCTCAGTTTCCTTGATTGCAAAATGAGAAAAACATTTCCCTCACAGAAATGCTTCAGGGATTAATTTTGCTTAAGTACAGAAAACAAAGCCTTATCTCATATAATAATATAACTTATTTTTTAAATTCTTGCTTTGTGAAATGTGAAATTCAACACTACGAGAAATGTATTTTAGTACTTCTTTCCAAATGTCAGAAACTCAAATAATGCACGTTTGTTTTAGACACATAAAAGCAAGAAATGTACAAAACAGCAATTCTGTTCTTTGCAAAGTAAAATTAATTTACCAGCATCTTTAATCAGTATAGCACTGGAATCTTCCACATTTGTAGGTCCTGCAAAAAAGTAAAACATGGGCAAGTTAAGAAAAAAATGCATCAACTAAGCAAAAGGTATAAGCAAGACGTGAGTATTTTTGTGAAGTAGCTTATAGCAAAAAATCAAAATCAGATCACATTTTGGCATTCTTAAAGCTAGTTAATTAAAAGTATCAAAGTGCATGCAGGTACAGAACAATAAGAGTGGTATGTATTTTCTTTAAAGTGCACTGTACAAAAAACCCTAGTCATTGTTTAAAAAAAAAGTCTGCCAATTATAACCTGGTCTATATGTAACCCTTACATTAAATGTAACAACAAAAAATAAAGTTCTCTGTCTAAATACTTCTCAAAAAATTTAAGTAAAAAATGAGTACGTCTTACTGTATTTACTCAAATAGAAGATGACCCTGACTATAAGGCGACACCCCCCCCAAAAATAGATTCTATACAAGGAAAATTTCTAAATTTGTTATAATTTTTCAGGGAAGGTTCTTTGAATAGATGTGATATCTTTTATTAGACCAACTGAGTAGTTGGAAAAAAGTTCTTAGCAAGCTTTTGGACATAGTCACCCTTCTTCATGCATAGGAAGCCTATAATTTTTCAAGTATATAATCTAATTATTGGAGGTTTGCATTGAATTTGTCCCTCTCCTACTGCTGCAACGGAAAATAAATCTGGGAGGTCAGGTAGCCCTTTGCTTTCTGATTCTTTGCAACCTTTCCCCTGGCAGCCTCTTCCCCCTCTCCTTACTATGAGGGGCCCAGACGTGAGGAAGTCGGCAGCTGCAGGGTAAGCGGCTGGCCGCTCCAACCCACTTCACGGGGACCCCCCAAACCAAAAGGCCCAAGGCAGTTGCCCCCAATTCAACCCCACTAGGGACAGCCTTGCACATGAAAGTGAGGAGCAAATATGAAAACAAGAACCTTGAAATTAAACATGGCTGTAGGGATTTACATACAGTACCCATTAATTTAGTTTATCCAGGAGTCATGCATGTTACTTTTTTTTGTTTTTTATTTATTTAGTTAGTTGGTTTTTAACTGCTTCAAGTTTTAGCACAGGTACTCCATAGAAAAATTTGTAAACAGTGCTTTGGCACCTACTCATACTATCACAAACTATGCATGCTATTAATCCAAAGCCAAAGGCTCATGATTTACCACATAATTAATTGTGCTAGGCCCCAAAGTCAACAGCATTTCAAGCCATGATGACCCCACATATCAGCATGCATGTGTGCTCCAGATGCACTCCACAAAGGATCCATGTGCTTATTACCCCCTCCCACCTTGCCTTAAACAGGGTGTTCTTGTCACAAAGCCAAGGATGCTCCAAAAATTTATATGTAGATAAGGCACAGGGCACCATGATCCAGCTTCATCCATCTCATGGTGCGGCCACACTAATTATATGTGCCAGGCTGAGAGAAGGGCTAACACAGGGATTCTGGGTATGCAATGTCATGACTCACCATGACTTGAAAAAGAATCAGTGGTGAGGGAGACTGTGCTTAATGGGACTATCATATATCTTATTCAGATAATCTGTCCTTATGGTAGATTCCCATCAGCAGCTCAGCCTTTCTGTCTAAGATCAAATATAGCATTTTTGGAACCAAAGGGAAGGTTGTCAGAGCTGGCTATGGCCCTCCTGGAGCCAGCCTGGTATTGCAGTACCTCCAGGCCTGGTGCCAGTTCCCTGTGGAGAGAACACCTGCCCATTTCATTTTAGGGGCCACACAAAAAAAAAGGTTCCCATCAGTATGTGCCCTCAATGTGGGTCATACAAAAAACTAGAACTCTTGATCCAAATATGATACCTTTTATTAGACCAACTGCAAAATGGCAAGAAAACTGTCCTTTTCTGTAAGCTTTCAGGATCAAAGTCCCTTTGTCAGGCTCTGGGAAAAGTGTAGATGGTAAAAAGTCTTCATAGGTAGGAAATAAACTTCATTTTTGCACAGAGGGAGCTGAAGATGGAAGTCTGTCCCTCTGGGTCCATGAGAGTGTCTTTGTGAGCTGTGTTGAGTAGCTCTTTGATGTGTTGATCAGGTAGAATTCCTTCCCTGGAGGTGTCAGATGGCAGGCAGGGAGGTAAAAAACTTCCTTGTTGTTCTGCAGTGAAATTTAAAATCCAAAACTGGCTAAAATTCGGCATCTTCCATGTTTCAGGGGTGTACTTGGTAGCCGTGTTGGTCTGAGACAAGAAGACTAGAACTCTTGGTTCCAAAATGATACCTTTTATTAGACCAACTAGAAAATGGCAAGAAATGAAACATGGAAGATGCCGAATTTTAGCCAATTTTGGATTTTAAACTTCACTGCAGAACAACAAGGAAGTTGGGTTTTTTTACCTCCCTGCCTGCCATCTGACACCTCTCCAGGGAAGGAAGTCTACCGGATCAACACATCAAAGAGCTACTAAACACTGCTCACAAAGACACTCTCATGGACCCAGAGGGACAACCTTCCATCTTCAGCTCCCTCTGCAAAAATGAAGTTTATTTCCTACCTATGGGGACTTTTTACCATCTTGTACCATCTACACTTTTCCCAGAGCCTGACGAAGGGACTTTGATCCTGAAACCTTGCAGAAAAAGACAATTTTCTTGCCATTTTGCAGTTGGTCTAATAAAAGGTATCATTTTGGAACCAAGAGTTCTAGTTTTTTGTGTCTTTTTGTCTCAGACCAACATGGCTACCAAGTACACCCCTGAAATGTGGGTCATGTGTTTTATAGTCATACTCAATATTAGCTGCATGTAATCAACTTCATAGTTGGCTTCCACTGCTGAACACTGCTTTTGGCAGAAGTCTAGTGATAAGCAGGGATCCAGGTTTTCCCTTTCCCATGGGAAAATGGAAAAAAATAGAGATTTCCCCTTTTACCTGAGAAAAACAAGGATTTTTCATTTTAATGGAGAAACACACAGATTTTGCACTTTTGCAAAGAGCTCTCTGCAGGCTGGCAGAGTTCCAGCCTGCAAGGGGCTGGAGGGAGCCGGAGAAGGGCAGTCAGGCAGGGGGCGCCCTGTGCACATATATGCATATGGCTACCAGGAAGCCTGGAGAGCAGGTAAGTCTGGTGGGGAGGGGGAATTGAGGCCCCCATAGGGAGGGAGACAGTTGGGCAAGGTTGGGGCTGGGGCTGCTGCCCAGGCAGGCGGTGCAAGGGGCTTGGGTCTGGAATGCTTGACCACAAAGCCCCGGCAGGGAGCAGGATGGGGCCATGAGTAGCTGGTTTGGGGGCTGCAGAGGGTGGTAAAGCCAGCTCCCTACTGCTGCGTCCACTATGGGAGTGGGGGGAGAAAAGGAACCCATGCCCACCCAGATCTGTGTGTTGGGTGTGGGTAGGTGTAGGCCGCCCGCTGCAGGCTCAGACTCCCCACCCTGCTGCCCTCCCTGGGGCCTCCACAGTCCAGTGGGCTGGACCTGACGGGCCAGGGCAGAACAGGGCCGGGCAAGGAAGCTCCTTGCTGCTGCAAGGTCCATGCCGCCCTGGCAAAACACCCGCTGCCCGCCCTGCAGCAATGGGGGCAGCAGCACAAGGTTCTTCCCCTGACTGCTAAGGGGTGGGCAGGGGGCACATTGCCAAGGCAATGTGGAGCTCACAGAGGCAAGCAGCTTTCTCACCCAACCCCACTCTGCCCTGCTGTGCTGAGTTCCACCCACTGGGCTACAGAGGGCCCTGAGGAGGGCAGCAAGGCAGGGAGCCCGAGCCCGCGGTGGGCAGCCCACACCCATCCCCGCTCCATGCACAGATCCTGACAGCATGGGTCCCCCCTGCCCTCCCTGGGAGTGCGTGCAGCAGTAGGGAGCCGGCTCCATCCCCTGCCTGAACCCACAGCAGGCAGCCCACACCCACCCCCAGGTTCCACTCTGGCCACGCTGCCTGTGAGGAAGGGGGAGCTGGGCTCTGCACTCCACTCCGCTGCAACAGCTGCCACCTTACGCAGCCAGCAGCCAGGGCTTGAGCACTGCTGTGGAGGGCTGCAGACTTGGGTCCCTAGCCCCAAAGCCCTGGCAGCTGGGGACCCTCTCTGGCAGGGCTGGGGGAGAGGGGGTTGTGGGCAAAGGGCACAAGCAGGGCCAGGAGGCTTGGGGGGAGGGGAGTGAAGGGCACCAGGGGGGCTGTGGGTGGGGACTGAGGGACACCAGTAGGTCTGGAGGGCTGTGGCTTGGGAGTGAGGGGCCTGGACCCACGCTCTGTGAATAAAGAAGCAGGGAGAGCTCTCATTTCCCATAATAAAATACCAAGATTTATAGGTACTTAGAATTTATTATAGTGACTGAGGCACCAGTAGGCTTCCAAATTGCTTAAAAATTGTAAACATATCAATAAAACTTTGCATTTAATTGCCACCCACCCACAGAGGGGTTTCATTTTAATTGCGGACTTTGGGCTTTTAATCAGAGAATTTACTTTTTTTTTTTTTTTTTTTTTTTAAATCAGAGAAAAACAAAGATCCCTGGTCATAAGACAATGTATTTAGTGAGATTTCTTTGTGTGGAATAATAAAACAAGGGGCTTTTTTCTCCATGCTAGCTGGGGGGAAAAAACCTTGTCTTGCATTCAAATAAAATGCACTGATCCATGCTCTGCGTGCAATGCCATTAAACGGTATATATTATATAACTTAATGCCATGAAAAAATAACAATTTTAGACTCTGAAACTCAGACTGAGATACAGTTCAGGTCTCCCTTCAACTTGGCTAAAAGGAATTCTGTTGTCCACCTAGACAGAACTTTCCAAATAGAAAATTCTGTTTTTTGAATGTTAGAGGAACTGCCAAATATTGGCCACATCTTCTTAAAGTACATTCTAAAATCCACATTCTATGCCTTTTGTAGTGATAAATGTCAGCTTATCCAAGCATGTTTAAACAAATTAAGTATGTCTTGATAAGCCACTTATAACATGACTTGCAGGATTTACTAAGATTATTAATACATTTTAGAATTAAGTTTATACATACTGAACAAAATGTCATACTGGAGTCTGAAGTATTCCAAATATTTATGAAAAACCCCACCAACTTACCTTGTAGACTGTGAACCATTTCTAAAAGAACAGGAGTAAGAGTCTGATTATACTCATGGAATATATCAATAAAAAGAACTTCTGTGCAAGGCTGAAAAAAGTAAAAAAAAAAAAAAAAAAAAAACTGTTATAAAGCCTACAAAAATAAAGACAAATCTAATTTCTAACAGACAGTAAAATACATTTTAATTGCTGAATACCTCATAATAAACACACTGAAACACTATAATGTTCCAAGTTAATTTGTCACAGCATAACAAGTACCACTATAATGACGTTTAGTTGTAACGTTTTTGATAAACAATGTATACTTCACATGTATTGAGCAATTACTAAATAAATCTTAATTGACTAAAACAACAATACAAGAGGACATTTTACACCTATTACATATACAGGTCACAGCTTTATTTTAGAATCCAAATATTTTTTTAAAAACTACCTAATTTTAATTTATTCTTCATGTCTCAGTAGTATTTTTATATAGATTTCAATTTGCAACTAACAAGTAGTTCTCTATCTGCTTGAAACTTTACAAATCCTACTTCAATAGAGATTGCAAGACTGTCCTACCAAAGCTAATATCCAAAGTTAATTCTTGTATTTGAAAACTGTGAGTGCTAATTAATCAGGATCATGTTCCACATCGCTCCTTCTACACGTCTCTGATATGAGGACATTACTCAGGAAGACTACAGACACTGATGAAATGAGCCCTACCATAAACAGATGTGTGTGGGCACATGCACACGCACAAAGGAGGGGACAAGAAGGATTATCTTTTCACCTATTTTGCAAATTGATTCTGTTGTATTTGAACAGATTTTTTCATCACATAAAAATCAGTGGGGGGCTCCCTGTGCCACTTGTGGCATGTGTGCTGTGGGTTGGCCACCCCTAGCATACAACATGGGAAGTTTCTTTTCACCCAGGATAGTTCATGGCTTATGGAAGGAAGACAGAAACATCAGAAAAATTATTTTCAGCAAAAAACTTCAGATGAGACCTAAAAGTGACTCTCTTTCTAAAAAACTTCACATAGAGAAGCTTGTCATAAAAATACAGCTTGTCATACTCCTCTTAACCAATATAAAGCCTACCAGAAAGCCTGTTTTCACCAAAAGTTATTAAAAGGAGCCACAGACTTAAATGGAAAATATACAAGAAGCCCACTTGATATGGAAGTCCCAGAAAGAAGGAGATTCCCTGACTGGTAGAAAAACCATGGGTAGGATTTTTTAGAAATTTTATCGTCATGTCAGAAAAGAATATGGCCTTAGGCAAAAGGACAGAAAGTAGAGATCTTTCTTTTCCTCATGTTTCAAGAGACAAGATCAATGTCTCTCCAGGGACCACAAACCAGTTTTTAAAGTTCCTTTGTAAGGGTATCACCTTTACAGCTGTTGAACAGGACTTTAAAAAGTGGCTTAGGAAATCAGTGTGAAGCACAACGCGCCCAGAGGCTGGATAGTCTACCCAAGTCCAATGATGCCTGACTGGACCCTTGAATTTGGATCTTTTGGAGAAGCACTTGTAAATTACTGCCTTCTATCACAGGTAGCAAAGTCAGCTCAGTCTGTTATTTACCAGCACTGCGCGGTTGGGGGGGGGGGCCAGGCACTGCGGGCGGGGTGGTGGTGAACTCAAAAACGTGGACCAAGCCATTTTAGCATTCCTGTACAGGGTGACAAGACTCCTTTAGCAAGGAAGGCATTCAAGATACTAAGCCTACCATTGCTCTATCTAAAAATGTTGCTTGCAAATAAAATTCGTTTTGCCAGAAGGCAAAGAAAACATAACTACATTGACACCTAATCTTAACTATAGAAACACATCAACAAACACCCTTGGAGCAGGAACAGGCAACATTTTAGAGCAAGGGGCAGCTTTCATAGAGTTTAGCTCCAAGCATAGACCACTTCCAACCTGGCCTGCACTGCCACTGCCACAGCCATAGTCACTACTCTCCCCCACACTGCCACTGCTGCAGCTTCCCCAGCAGGGTAAAACCTCCTGCTGCTTAAGCCATACACAGAAGCCCAGTGTCACCAAAATGCTACTGAAGTCCACCACTGCCAAAAGGCTGCAGCAGTCTCCTAGCTCCTCAAGCCAAATAAAATGGCTCTGGACCAGGTATGGCATAAATCTTTATCTTGTGCCCTCCTCTAGATATTCTGGTAAACGTGCAATAGAAGCTAACACACAATTCACGCAATTGCACCTCCTGCCATACCACATGTACACGGCAAGAGATGTAACTGTGGGATCCAGCATCAGATCTTAACATACCATAACAGCCAGTGTAGAGGGAGCCCAGGAACATGATCCCATGGCTGGGAGTCCCCTCAGCTGCGTGACTCCCAGCTGCCATAGCACATGGTGCACCCCATGGGTGGGAGCCCTATCAGCTGATAGGGGTATAGCTGATCCCAGCCACAGGGGTATAGCTATGGCTACATATGCAAATAAATGCTGGATAGAAACCAGTTATAAAATTAGTACACATTTTCCAGCTATAACTTCATAGCTCAGGGGTGGGCAATTATTTTGGTTGGAGGGCCATTTAGAGAGTTTTAGTGAACAGTTGCAGGTCAAGTCAGCCCACCTGTCATTGTCCCCCGGCTCCCCCCTTCCCCCACAACCCGCAACAGCTCGGGGATCTGGCCTGAGGGCTATATTTTGCCCATCCCCATTATAGCTGGATGAACCTTTTTACGATGTGCTAGTTAAATAGTTAACTTAAATAATGTAGCTGGTCTACATTAATTGCATAATTAACCCAGTACTTGCGTGATAAATGTAACATGAAGAGGGAGACTTGGTGGGTAAGAAAGTCAAACAGCCACAGAATCTCTTTTGGAAAGACAAGTAAATATCTGTATGGTGATACTGCTTCACAGAACGATCTTTTAAATTTAGGAATGAATTGTAAAACAGGAATAATAACCGGATTCTGTTAAGAGCTGAGGTAGAGAAGGTAGCAAAAAATATCATATCATATTTACTTGAATATACAATGAGGTTGTTTCTCCCAATCAGCATGGGGAAAACAGCTCCTCGTCTTACATTTGCCTACAAGGAAACCTCATTCAATACATTATCTACATTAAACTGCTGTCAAAAGAAACAAATGTTGAGTAATGCAAACCAATTATGAAGCTGATTAAATGGAGCCGACACTGAGCATGACTATAAAACAATATTGTGCAAACATACTGAGGGAACCTCCCACAAGTTTTTGTTTTTAGGTTAGTAGAGCCCATCTGAATAAGATATACGATAGTGCCTATTGCACTCAGTCCCCCTCAGTGCCAACTCTTTCAAGTCATGGTGACCCACTACATAGAATACATTTTCAATTCCCTCTTCATTTCCACTGCTGTTTCCCATTTCCAATTATTCCTGCTTCTTCACTAGCCTTAAATGTCTGGCAAACATAAAAAATGGGGCCCCAAACAGCTCACCCAGAATTCTTCTGTCACCTCCTCTCTCAATCTGTCACATCATTAGCAGGGATCCTGGTTTTCTCTGATAAAAAAGAAAATCTCCAATTTTCAGATTAAAAATGTATCCCAAAATCCATATTTTTCCATGATTAAAATGAAACTCACAAATATCTATATATATCTATATATACATAAAGTGGAGTTTCATCTTAATTATGAAAAACATAAATTTGGGGTTACTTTTTTAAATCCAAAAATTGGGGATTTTTTTTGTTTAAATCAGGGAAAACCAGGATCCCTGATGATTAGTGTGACCCTGCCCACCATGAGGTAAAGCCAAACCAGGTTGCCCTGCATCTGCATCTAAAGTTTTTAAGGATCCCACAACTCATGACAAGAACACCCAGTGCAAGTCATGAGTGGGGGGGGCGCTAATTTGCACATAGATCCTTTGGGGGGGGGGGGATCTGGAGTACATACACATACTGAATGTTGAGCTATAGGATTACCATGGCTTGAAACGTTGTAGACTCTGCTGGGGCCCAGCCCAAAGAGCTGTTGGGCTTCAGAGTAATATCATGCATAGTTTGTTGATACAACAAAAGTGCTACATATAAGTTGATACAAAAGTGCAGCTTAAAAGTATGTTTATAGAGTACCTGAGTTAAAACTTGCAGCAGTTTCAAAAAAAGGTAAACTGCAACAATTATGGATGAACTAAGTCTATGAGTACCCACAGTAATTTGCCTATATGTTTATTTCAAAGTCAGTGCTTTCAGAATTGCCCCTCGTTTCCATAAGTTCAGCAAGAACAGGGTCTGACGCTAAGGCAGGGGGTGGGAAAATGGCTGCAGGAGGAAGAAATTGTGGGGGTAGAGGGCAAGGGGGGCACCTGACCCTCCCAGATTTATTTTCCCTGCTGTAACAGTGGGCGGGAGAACAATTCAAGGCAAACTTCTGATATTTAGATTCTGTAGCTGTAACTAACAAATTTATACATTTTCCATACATAGAATCTAATAATTGGGGGTCATCTTAAATTCAAGGTGGCCTTATAGTCAAGTAAATATTATATCATAAAAACATTCTGAATAAACTTTTTATCTGCACTTACTGATAACTTCAGTGTGTCACGTAACCATGTCCTAATCCCAGCCTTCATCCCTTTTAGATTTCCTAGTAGTTCGTATTTTAATATAATTCTATACAAAACGATGCTCAACCTCCAGCCTGTAACACCATGTCATCTGGCCCACAGGGCTCCCCATTGGTCTGGAAATTTGGTTGTAGGGATTGGTGAAACTGCTCGCCTGCTACCAAATCTCCAGACCGAAGGGGAGGCACGGGTCCCATGAGCTGAATTCAGCACCCAATCCCAGCACGTAGGACCTGGTGGAAGTGGCACTGTGCTCCAGGACCCAATACCAGCACCAAGCCCCCGGGACTCAAACTGGCATAAGGGGAGCGCAAGGAAGCAGTACCTGCATATCTAAGATTATTTTAAAAGTAGTGAATATTAGTTGATAGCTTAAAAAACTGATTATATTGTTACTTTTGTTCATTCAGCACGGAGTTAAAGAGCCTGTAACAGGGAAACAAAGGCTCCTGTTACTAAAGAAGAGGAAAGCACAGCAGGCTAGTCTGCTGAGTAGGCAGACAGGCAGCTAAAGCAAGGGTTGCATGCAGCAGACTTAAGCTGCAATGTACAGGAGCAAGCTGCCCATTAGAGCCGAAGGGAAACATCTGTACAGCCTAGTGAGTCACCTGACTCAGATAGGGCTGCACTCCAGCAGTAGAAAAGCTGAACACTTGGGAAGAAATGGAAGAGAACTGGTGCTCTGATGGAAACCAAGCTGTCTGGAGACAGCAGCTGTATGAGAATCTCCTGGCAGGTGTTGAGGTGCCCTGAAGGCACAGAGGTGAGAGTCCTAAGGCATGAGGGCTACTGGACGCAATGATCTCACAAGATCCCTTCCAGCCCCTAATGTCTATAAAATCTATTAAATGTTTGTTTACCCAGAGTAGGGAAGGTTTTCGTTAAAGCGGTAGCTCACCTTTTTCTTCCTAATTTATAACTGGTGGACTGGCTTGTGGCTGTAAGGGGTGAAGAGGGGACAAAGTGGGGTGCTTGAGTACCACACCGAGGTTTAGGCTACAGGAGGTGCCCAAGGGGCACACTGAGGTTTGAGGTGCAAGATGTAGGTAGCCTGAGGCCGAGAGGGCCAAGGCCGTGCCTGTGTGGAGCAACAGAGGCAGCCTGAAGCCAAGAGGGCCAGAGTTGAAGCCTGAGAAGGACAAAGACTGGGACAAGGGGGCACAGAGCCTAAGAAAGGCTAGACTAGGACCAGAGGGGGCTCTGAGCCCAGGAGGGGAGAGAACAGAGCCAGGGGCCCAGAGCCCAAAAAGGGGCAAGGCTGAGACTAGAGCCCAGAAGCCAACGTCTGGTGCAGTGGGCCTAGGCTAAAAGGCTCACAGTTAAAGAAAAGAGGCCAAAGCCGGTAAAGTCAAAGCCACTACAAAGGTTTCGAGGCCCGAGAAGGCCAAACACTGAGGTGGAGCCAGGCACCACCTCAGAAAAGGTATTGTGTACCATCTGTGAGGCATGGGCGTGACTAAAGGGGCAGATGGAGGCCACAAAAACAGCCCTTAAGGCACCCAGTGTCCTAGGGCACGAATAGGGCTGGAAGGGCTGTGACGGATTGAACAAAGGCAGACTGGCAGTGGACTGGACTCCTTCTGGACTTCAGGGCAGCCTCCCAAACTTTTGTTTAGAACAACATCAAGGCATGGCAGGTAAGCAGTACAGAAGGGCACCCCAAGGAATCAGAGGAGGCAGGAGTCATGTGTCCACTAGAGGGCGCAACAGAACCACTGGATACAGGTTCCATCACAAAGCCACTCTCATTTTTTAAAACTCATCTTGCTTTGTTCAAACTAAAATACTTACTCGAAGACTGTATTTCCAAGAATCTCCTCCTGTTTCTTCTACAGCTACAATTCATAAAGAAAAAAGAAAGCACATTACATTAAAACACTATTTCCTTTGTAGTTTAAAAATATTAATTGAATTTAAACAATAAAAAAAACAAAAATTCTGGGCTACTGAATATATCAGTTTGTGAGAAAAATCTTTAAGCAAATATATAATATTTATCTACACAGAAAGACTCCATAGAGAAGACTGTCAAAGGCTTTCTCTATGCATTTTAACAGCGGGTATTTTGTGGATATACTAAGCACCTAAATAAAAGTTAGACTGAAAATACAGTATAGTTCCTTACTAAAGCCTTCCGGATCCTCTTCCCACATTGTCAACTCTTCCTCTGCCAGCAGGAAGTACTGACTAACTAATCTCCTGCATATCTCTGTCAAGGTAGGGTACGTGAAGAATGATGTCTTAATCTTATGTGCTTCAAGAGTTTCAGGGCTGCTATCTGTAAAAATATTTCAAAATTACTGTTACGTGAGTTAATGTATGAGTAGTAAATTACTGGATAGGCAATTCTTATACACAGAAGTACAATTATATTTCCAAACTGACTTCTGAAATCCTTCAGGAAATCATATTGCTCAATTAAATATTTTTAAGTGATATCTCATATAAAAAGAGGACACAGGTGCCTTGCAAGGATTTCCAGCACGTTTGTCCCCAAGAAAAAGTTTTCTGCATAATAGCAAGAATCTCAAGTGTTAAAAATCTTGTTGTTTTCAAGTATTTGGCAATGCTTAAACAATTCAATAAAAAGTATTCCACTGTGCAAGAAAATACCTTAAGAATCCAAGACATGGACAAAGAGAAAAGTTCAATGTCATAATTTACTGTTCATCAGCAGAGAGGTAGTTAGCTGTGCTAGTCTAAAGTTAGGCAGAAGACAGGGTAGATTTGCACCTTTATAGACCAACTGATACAAATTATAGCATAAGTTTTCGTAAGCAGAGGGCTTGCCTCATCAGATGTTGTGAAAAAACTGCAGGAAGCAGAGCTGCTAAACAGGAAGCAGCGATTAGAATACAAAAGATAGGAAAAGGAGGAGGAAAAAAGAGAGAACTGCTAGGAAAGGCAAGGTGGGTAGGAAAGAGAAAAAACCAAAATAGTTAACCCACTAGGGACATTAAAAATGAACAGGAAACTGCAAAACAAGAAATCTTCCACAGACCGGATTATGTTAAGTATGGTCTATACCAAGATTATTATTCTATGACCTAGATTAGGTTTTATAAGCCCTGTCCCTCAGTAGGTTAACTGCTTTGCTTTCCTCTGCTTCCCTGACTTCATCAGCCTATAAAGGTGAAAATTTATCCTGCTTTTGGCATAATTTACTTTCACTATTCTAATTATCAAAGGAAACTGTTCAATTTGGTACTCCCTAATTCATCTTCTTTTCCCACTTGATACTGTATTGCAGGGGTGACTGGTGCCTCCTGAGTCTGGGGGGGCACAATTTGTGGGTGGGCCTGGGGGTGGCTTATATCCACTCTCATACTTCTGTGTCACAGCTTAGTGCCCCCCCCCCCCCCCCCCCACACCCCCCCCCCCCCCCCCAACACACCTCCAGCCCGCATGGCAAAAAACTCCCCCACCCTGAGTAGTGCTGAGTCAGGGGCCAATCTCAGGGGGGACCATTTGCCACCTGCCATGCCCTCCCTACCACTTGCCTGTGCTGTAGTGAAGTCACAATGCTAACTTAAAAGCTAAAGCTCCAATCACATCCAACAGACTCTGGAACCCACATGAAGTTCTGCTGACAGACGCAAGATTTCTACTATACGAATTCAATCATGTTTATGGATTTCTGATTTTGCTGATGATTCAAGTAGAGAATGAGCAAAGGGATACAACTTTATTTAAAACAACAAAGTGAAAAATAGAAATTGAGAATACAAACCTAAACTAGCAAGTTTTACAATTTTAATAAATATTCATGTTTCAAATTTTCTCAGAGGTTCCTATACTCAAATAATGCTGAAAAAAAAAATATATGCCTATTTTGATAATGCAAGCTAATAATAACTTAAGGATATCCTGTATCTTCAGTAGTTACTAAATCCCTCCAGCATACCAGTGAGAAAAAGCTATGGTCCCATAATGGGATTTAGAATCACAGAATCATAGAAAATTAGAGTTGGAAGGGGCCTCGGGAAGCCATCTAGTCCCAACCCCCTGCTCGAAGCAGGATCATCACCAACTAGGTCATTCTAGCCAGGGCTTTGCTGAGCAGGTCTTTAAAAACCTCCAAGAACCGAGATTCCAAAACCTCTCTAGGAAACTTGTTCCAGTGCTTCACCACCCTCCTAATGAGAAAGTATCCTAATATGTAATCTATAACTCCCTTGCTGCAACTGAGTTAGGAACAGAAGTTGCACATAAACTGGTTTAAGTGATCAGAAACTGGTTTAAATCTGTAACAGAACAGAAGTTCAATACACATAAAGCAGTTTCAAAATGACCAAAATTAGTTCAAGATAAACCTGGTTGAATCAGACTTAGCTGATTTAGGTCAAACCGGTTTACGGAACTTCTGTCCCAGCCCTTTTCCTGGTTCAAATTAAATGTTAAAGACAGTCTCCCAGCATCCCAGGATACTTTGCAGCCCTGGGCTGAGCTGGGCTGTGCTGTCTGCTCAAGCAGAGCAGGGTTTGCCATGCCCCCCCTGCCCTCCAGCCAGAGCAGTGAGGGCTGGCTGACAAGGAAGTGACGGTGGGAAACCCAGCTGGGGACACAGCCTGGTCTGCCAAGCAGCATTCCCCCTAAGATGCATGCATGCATGGCCACGCACAATAAAAAAAAACAAAAAAAACAAACAAAAAAAAAAAATCACACTGCACAGTAACTTTTTAATGTTGTGCACACAGTAGTGTATAGTGAGTAGTGTACAGATGGGGGAGTAGCAGGGGGTCATGGCCCCCGGGTACCGGCCTGGGAGGGGATACCCAGTGCCATAGCAAGGGGGTACCAACACTCCCCCCCACTGCCACCGCCAGCTTCACGTCCAGCCGCTTGCCACCCACCCCAACTGAGCCACAGGCTGCTACAGGAGGGTGGCGGGGTGGCACACTGAGATACCCGCGTGCTCCCAGACAGGATTGCTCACAGATTGCTAAACCTTAGAGGAAACACTGCTGCCTGCCTGGGGTGAAGCAGACCCTGCCAGATTTTTCCCTGCTGCAGCGGAGTGAATGACAGGGTGTGACAGCAGGCTCAGGGGGAGGGGAGGGAGGAGGGTTAAATCCCCCCCACCTTCCCTCTTCCACCAGCACAGAACCCCAGCTGGGGTCTACCAACCTTCCCCCCCCACCACTAGCCACTTATTTGAGTGGCAGGGGGCATGGCCAGCTGGCAGCTCGGGCAGCACCTCAGGGGAAGGGGGCAGCACTAGGCCAGTGCCTGGCTCCCCACTGCTCAAGCAGCCAGCAGGCAGGAAAAGCTGGGAGACCACGGCTGGGGTCCAGTGCCAGAGGGAATATGGGGGGGCAGGGGAGTTTAATCCCCTTTCCTCCCCAAGCCTGAAGTGCTGCCCAGGCTGCAAGATGTTTGTGCTCCCCCGCCGCTCATACCCCCCGCACCGCTTGAGCAGCAAGTAGGGTAGGGGGGGAGACAGGCAGACCTCGGCTGGGGTCACATGCCAGTGGGAGAGGGGAGGCAGGGGGGTTTAATCCCAGACCGCCAACTGGCCACTCCCCCTGCCACCAGGGGACCAACCTGGTACAGGCTGCTTCCCCTTTCCCCCTCCAGGCACATCCCAGCTGGTGTCGCTGCAGGCCAGGGTAGGGATTTAAACACCTCCCCAATCATACTCAGTAGCCTGCTGGGGCTGGCCACACCCCCCTCTCAACTCAGCTTCCCTCCAGCCTTCCAGCCACCACTGAAGGGAAAGGAGAGCTTGCTCTAGCACCACCCCCAGCTTCTATGTCTATTCACTTGCTTCTTGCTTCAATCTATGTAGGTTAGACTAAACTGTAAAGATTAAATCCATTCAGGCTAAGGCTTTTTGAATGTCTGTACTTATCCCCTGAGACCACTGCTATCTGTTCTGTTATCGGTCACCACTGAGACCAGTCTAGCTTCATCTTCTTTGGAACCACCCTTCAAGTAGTTAAAGGTTGCTATCAAATCCTCCCTTATTCTTCTCTTCTGCAGACTAAATAAGCCCAGTTCCCTCAGCCTCTCCTCAGAAGTCATATGTCCCAGCCCCCTGACCAGTTTCACTGCCCTCCACTAGAGTCTCTCCAACTTGTCCACATCCTTTCTATAGTGGAAGGCCCAAAACTGGATACAGTACTCCAGATGTGGCCTCACAAGTGCAGAACAGAGGAGAACAATTATTTTCCTTGATTTACTCTGAACATCTACCAAGGTGATTAGGAACAGTCAGCATGGATTCAACATGGGCAAGTCATGTCTGACCAACCTGATTGCCTTCTGTGATGAGGTGTCTGGCTCTGTGGATGCGGGGAGAGTCCAGTGGATGTGGTGCATCTTGATTTTAGCAAGCCTTTTGATACTGTCTCCCACAACATTCTCGCAGGCAAGCTAAGGAAATACAGGCTGGATGAATGGACTGTAAGGTGGATAGAAAACTGGCTAGAGCATTGAGCTCGGAGAGTAGTAATCAAAGGCTCAATGTCTAGTTGGCAGCTGGAGTCAAGTGGAGTGCCCCAGGGGTTGGTCCTGGGGCTGGTTTTGTTCAATGTCTTCATCAACAACCTGGAAGATGGCATAATGTGCACCCTCAGCAAGTTTGCAGATGACACTAAGCTGGGGAGAGTAGTAGATACACCGGAGGGTAGGGCTAGGATTCAGAGTGACCTACCCCAAATTGAAGGACTGGGCCAAAAGGAACCTCATAAGGTTTAACAAGGACAAGTGCCAAGTCCTGCACCTAGGACAGAACAATCTCATGCACCAGTACAGGCTGGGGGATGACTGGCTAGGCAGCAGCTGTGCAGAAAAGGACTGGGGGGTTACAGTGGACAATAAGCTGAATATGAGCCAGCAGTGTGCCCTTCTTTCAAAGGCTAAAAAGCATCCTAGGCTGCATTGGGAGGTATGTTGCCAATAGGTCCAGTAATTATTCCCCTCTGTTCAGCACTGGTGAGGCCACATCTGGAGTACTGCATCCAGTTTTGGGCCCCCTATTACAGAAAGAATGTGGACAAATTGGAGAGAGTCCAGCAGAGGGCAACAAAAATGGGGAGGGTGCTGACTTATGAGGAAAGACTGAAGGAACTGGGCTTATTTAGTCTAGAGAAAAGGACACTAGGAGGGGATTCAATAGCAGCCTTCAACTAGCTGAAGGGGGATTTGAAAGAGGATGGAGCTAGACTGTTCTTAGTGGTGACAGAAGACAGAACAGGAGCGATGATCTCAAGTTGCAGCAAGGGAAGTTTAGGTTAGATATTAGGAAGAATTTTCTCACTAGGAAGGTAGTAAAACACTGGAACAGGTTACCCAGAGAGGTGGTGGAAGCTCCATCCTTGTCCGTTTTTAAGACCCGGATAAGACAGAGCTTTGGCTGGGATGATCTAGTTGGGGCTGGTTGTTCTTTGAGCAGGTGTTTGGACTAGATAACATCCTGAGGTCCCTTCCAAGCCTAATTTTCTATGATGATGATTATTATTATGATTATCATTAGTATATGAGATTTATAGAGTTACAATCAATGCTGCCAAATTAGATCAAACTGACTTTTGGGTGGAAAAGTAGACATTTATTTTTCCTTGTGTTATCATTACATTATGTGAATTAAGGTTGTTTGTGTTTCTTAAGTGTGCGTTATCTGTACTTTAATATTCACATTATTTTTTATTTTAACCTTAAGATTGTTAAAAGCTTATGATTGGTAAATTTCTGGATAGTTCTGACACGCACATATAAACCATGGTTAAACCTGAAAAGCAACTGACCAAAATCTTTACTACATTTTCTACACACCTCATTGAGCAGGTAGGATGTACTGGGTAGTTTTTTAAATTATTATTTTTGGTGTGGGGGAAGATGGGATGAAGGGGGTTAAGATTAACTGAAACTGACTGGTAATGCAGCTTGCAGTTCCAAAATTAACTAATTTTGTCAGTGTGATGAAATCATCAAAGCTAACCTCACTTTATCATGCATCCGCAGATGCATGACAAATAGGTCCAAGGAAGTGATACTTCCCCTCTATGCGGCACTGGTCAGACTGCAGTTGGAGTACTGCATCCAGCTTTGGGTACCGTACTTCAAGAAGGATGTTGATAGACTCGAGAAGGTCCCAAGGAGGGCCACTCGTATGGTACGGGGTTTACAGGACAAACCCTATGAGGAGAGACTGAGGGACCTGGACCTCTTCAGCCTCCGCAAGAGAAGGCTGACAGGTGATTTTGTGGCCGCCTACAAATTCATTAGGGGGGACGCAGCAAGGGATCGGAGATGCTCTGTTCACCAGGGTAGCTCTTGGGGTAACAAGGAACAATGGTCACAAACTGACAGAGAGCAGATTTAGGCTAGATATCAGGAAAAACTTCATGGTAAGGGTAGCCAAAATTTAGAATGAGTTTCCAAGGGAGGTGGTGCTCTTCTCTACCTTGGGGATCTTTAAAAGAAAGCTAGATGGGCATCTGGCTGGGGTCATCTGACCCCAGCACTCTT